AGAAAAAAATCTCTAGTGAGACAAAATTTGTTTTAAGTAAAAAATCTTAAGTGAGATAAAATTCATTTTGAGAAAAACAATCTCTAGTGAGACGAAATTTGTTTTAAGAAAAAATCTCATGTGAGATAAAATTCATTTTGAGAAAAAAATCACTAGTGAGACGATTTTTTTTAAGAAAAACAATATCAAGTAAGATAAAATTTGTTTTTAAGAAAAATACTCTGTAGTGAGACAAAATTTTGTTTTAAGAAAAAACAATCTTAAATGAGATAATTTTTTTAATAAAAACAATCTCAATTGAGATAAAATCTTGAGTGAAATAATTTTTTGAAGTTTAAGTTTCGAGGGAAGCTATCTCGGGCGAGATAATTCTGATCCAACTCCTTATGCGATATATTTGAGTGAAATGGTTATGCTAATCCAACTTCTTATGTGATAAAATCGAGCGCAATGACGATGTTGATCCAACTCCTTATGTGATGGAATCAAGCGAAATGAAATTATGTTTCAAGGGAAACAATCTCTAATGAGATAATGATGATCTAACTCCTTATGTGATGGATGAGCTGAGGATGAACAAGTTATTCTTATTATAAACTTTTTTCCCTCATCGGATGAGTTATTCTCATTATGAACCCTTTCATTAGAAATATTGATCCATCTCCTTATGTGATGGACGACCCAAGGTTGAGCATGCTCTTCTCGTTATGAGTTTTTTCTCCCTCATTGGATGAGTTATTCTCATTACGAACCCTTCCATAGGAAATGTTAATCCACCTTCTTCGATGGATTAGAGCTATCTCGAGTGAGATGACGCTGATCCAACAAGTTCTTTTCATTAGGAACTTCTTCTCCCTCATTGGATGAGTTCATCTCATTATGAACTCTTCACTTGGAAATGTTTGGTTTGTATTTTCTCTGAAGAATTTTAAACTCTTTGCAAAAATCATGAAATGAAATTTTTATTGACTTCTTGAATTCTTATCAAACATTCAAGACTTTGATGAAAGAATAAATGCATATGCTCCTATTGTGCAAATGCCTAAATACGCATGCATAATGTCATTTTAGTGTTGCGGGCTCCACTTTCTCATTAATATTTGCATCATTCTCTTTACTGAGTTCTTTGTCTTTACTTGGGCCTTGATCTCTTCCTCTTGACCTCAACAATATTGCACTTTGACATTCGATTCCTTTGCCCCAGTTTGCTCATTTTGAACTTCTAAGTCTGAGTGACCTTTGCCAACTTTCAAGATCTATTCCCAAGAGATTATCTTGTTTGAAAACACGTTTTTTCTTTCATTTTCCAAACTGTGAAAAAGCTTGATGAAGAAGTTTTGAAAAATAGTGTCACTTAATTCTGGCTCACAATTAAAGCAAATTTTAAACAAGAGTTCATTGAATATCAAATGAGGCAAAAACTCTTTTTAATCCTTCGAAAATCATTACTCTTTGACAAGTGTCAAGTTGAGGCTAATTTTGAGGCTTATGTTGATTTCAGGAGGCAAAATGTTTCAGGATGGCTTCTTTGGTCAAGATCTAGTATTTTTTATTTTGGTGTTCATTAATATGATGAAGTAGTCATTTCGTTCATCTTCTGGAAATGTTCACTGATTCTCAGCTCTTGTGAATACCTTCAAGTGGTATGGCGCTTTATCAAGGGATGCATAAGACCTCTTAAAATATTTTAAAACATTATAATTGCATTAGTATTTATGAATTTAACCACCATGGATAAAAATAAATAACAATTAATGGACTAAATTGAAGCTAAGGTGCAATTATAGGGACTTATGGCAACAAGTTCATTTTATTTCATTACAGTCCATGCTATCTAATGACCAAAACATGCATTTAATGGAACTAGGAGGATCTAATGACCAGAACATGCATCCTAACTACTCTTACCTCAAGTTTGATTAAACCTAAGTAAGCTGCATAGAGAGTACTTAAGACAAATAATCATGATAAATAATGAAAGCTATAAAGTTATGAAATTAGCTCTTTTCTCATATTACTTTTATTTATTTATTTCAAAATAAATTGAATTTTTATTTATAAAATCTTGAGATTTAACGATAGTTTGACTGACCAAGATAATATTTATTTATTATCATATTGATCTTTTTTGTTTTACCTTAGATTGGATTTGGATACACAATTTGCATTCTTAGATAGTTTTCTCACAACGTTTAGCTCAGATTTATTATTGTCAACGATCTTTCAATAGTTTTCTCTATTGTTCTGATTTATCTATCATTGCTCATATTTGTTCGTACTATCTTTTATTTGAGTTTTTGTTGAGTTTTTAACATTTTCATTGTACAATTTGTGTATGATCTCAAGTGATTATTTTCTTATGTCAATAATTATAAGCAAATATCTTAATTAGGTATTTAGGTTAGGTTTGTTTACGTTTATAATTGTAAATCCTTATTACAATTTTAGATATTTCCTCTTTTCAACAACTTCTATAAAAAAAATTAATTATAAAAGCTCAAATACAAAATATCTCAACTTTTGATAATCTCTACTAAAGCCTAACTAACTGTAATACCTAATTTTTGTCTAGGCTGCAAACTTATCTGAATGCAAGAGAACACATTCATATTGTCCATGATGAAAAGGAAAGGGGTATTATATTAGAGAATGTCTCGGAGGAATTTTGTCATATTCAATGTGATCTCCTTTCAATGGAAAAGAATATGTTAATTGATGTAATTAGATAAAATTAGATGTTATTTCTTTAGATAAGAAGATCTTATATTATTTGGACATTTTCTATTTTCTTAGAACACGTGAAAGAAACACATAAAAAAGAAGAGAAAAAGGAAGAGAAAAAAAAAAGAAAAGAAAAAGGGAGAAAAAGGGGAAAAGAGTAATCTCAAGTATTGTAATTCGAAAGAGAAAAACAATAAAAGTATTTTTTTTTTGTTTAAAGGTAATTCTCTTATATTATTTTTATTTTATTTTTTGTGTTTGTTTCTTTGTTTGTTCTCAACCTTATCTTTATTTGAAAGCTCCATTGAAGAAAGAACCGATGAATTAAGGAAACAACTGTCAAATATATCTTCATAGATTTTGTCTTCCTCGAGGTTGAATAACGTTGTATTTGATCCATTTTTTATTTTTAAAAAAATTAACTCTGATTTCATTTTCTTTCTTTTTCTAATTTAACATTCTAAAAATATATTTTTTTATTTTTTAAAATTATTTTTTTATATTCATGATTCATCCATTTATTTTCCATATTTATTTATTCTCGTGTGTCATTTAAGTATTTCTTTTTATTCAATTTTAGTATTAAATTGGTACTTTCATGTATATTTTTAGGTTACTTTCTTTATTTTGGTGCATGTTCACAATCTCAGTTCTGTGCATGCTCGTGATTGATTTGGTTTCTTTTAAAGAAGTCGAAAGGGTTGAGAGTAGAGTGAATATTGAGCAGTGGTTTTCTGTTGAAGGTTGCTAGTTCTGTTTTTGCTTCTTGGGTCACTTTTGCCCTATGTTTCTTTTCCTCTTTCCATATGTTTTGTAGGTGCCTCCCCAAATGCGGTGGTGTCCAGCTGTCAAAGTATTGTCACGTGTACGGTGTGCTTCAAAGACTGTGATGAAGGTTCTAGATTACTCTGGTGTTTTAACACTTGAGGGGGTGAGGCGTCCGATGCATGCATTCTGTTTCAATCAATTCGCAACGTTTAGTCTTGATTCTTTCTTTTCAACGTTGTCGCTAACTGGTCCATGTAGTAACACACTTTTGACCTCAAAACTTGTGTGTTTTACCTTTGCTTCTAGCCTTGCAACAATATAATGCTGTAAGAAATCGTTTCATGAATCATTTGTGAATTATACGTAGTCATATTTGTTTCTCGTTCAATGAGTTTGAAATCAACATACCAGTCTTTCATGCGCAGTGATGATCATAGAATTTCAACATACTCTCCCCCTGCTTTTAATAAGTTATGGAGTTTAGCTACTCATGGCTTTGTCTTCTCTATTTTCCTTTGATTTTTGACAGATCAGTTTGCGGGACTAGAATTCCCCATATGTTTTGCTGTCAATATAAAATTCTAATTTGCTTGCTCATGCCAAATGCTTATATGCTTCTTATTTATATGTTGCCATTCTTATTTTTCTTTCGACATTTTAATTTAAGGATTAGATATTTAGTATATTACTGGGTTTTAGATATGAGTGCGCTTATAATTGCTTGGTATTCTGCCATCAAAGTTGCTTTGGCCGAGTGGTTAAGGCGTGTGCCTGCTAAGTACATGGGTTTCACCCGCGAGAGATCGAATCTCTCAGGCGACGAATTTTTTATTTTTGTGTCTCTTTCTGCCGATTACGACTTAAGAAAATAATATTGGCAAGTCGTAATTACATTTGCACTAATCTTTATGTGATCCCTGAGATCAGGAAGCAACCGGAAACATTCTTGAGTTCCATGTTTGTGCAATAGCCAACTCTATCTAATTGTCGCCTACTCGACTCCATTGATTCTTACACTTTCTAAAATGCAGATTCACCATTGCACTGGTAATGCCGTTTTGTAGAGGAAACCGAAACGATCGCTGCCGTTGGTGACTGGATTGTAGTGAAAACTAGTACTGCATAAGCTTCCATCCTCTTTGGAGATCTCTTCTTCCTGCATTCATTTTGTAAATGCATAAACTACATATAGCTTATAATCGTGAGAGATGTCCGCTCTGCTGTTATCTGCATGGATCCAGAGACTGTCATCGTCATTGAAAGAGATTTTACCCTGTGATCCGTAACTGCTTCTGGCAAAAATGATCTCATAACTGTACGACTCACTTTGTCCTATCGATTCTCAGTTCTGGGAATCCAAGGTTTCGTTTGTTTTCTTATATGGACAATAAAAGAATATTGGCTGTTCACTGTCACTGTCACTGTCACCATGTTCAGACAAGCAGAGCGGATTAGATGGGAACAGACAAAACTCCAACTGAAGCACTTTTGTTTTTGTTTTGCAATGATAATTGATAGTTGAAACTTACCAACAGTTGTAACTACTTTATTGTCATACTTTTCTTACAATATTAATAATTTCAAATTTGATCGACCCGGATCAAAGTTTCAACATCGGGGTAAACTAATTTACAACTCCAGCACACAACGCTGCTATCACACACGAGGAAAGGGAAAATATAGAAGAGATGAAGGGAAAATATAGAAGAGAGGAAGGGAAGCGGGGATCATGATCATTCCCTTCTGTTGGCACTACCGGGACAATTCGAGCGATTGGATGTCGGATGAGACTTGTAACTGAAGTCAACATGATGAGGAAAACCTCTTTCAGAATTAGTGTCTTCATCCCGAAACCCCTGAAAAGTTCTTCCAGTTGAACCATATTTGTCTAACTCCAGCCTCTGTCTTGGGGCACTCTGGGACCGATACTTAGCCCGGGATGATTGGGTGTTCGCCATGTAATTTGGGTGACCGGAATATCCACTTAAGTATCCCCATGAGCACTCACTCCTTGTTGGTGTGAAAGGGCTTCTCCTAGCACTACTTCCAGGTCTAGAGGATGCAGAATGCACTTGTGGGCTGTTGTCAGCTGTTCTTAGAGCTGCTTCACCTTTCCCTCCATGATGTTTCATGGAGTTCAATGAGAAAACATCTGCCGAAGAGATATTTGGCATCTGATTTGAGGATTTTCCAGATGGTTTTCTCGGGGAGTCGTACGCCGTGAAGCTCTGGTTATAGTCCAAAGTTGAAAAATGCCGAGATCGCCGAAAATTCTTGCTACTCTGTTGGGGGTTCAAGTGAGGTTTCCAAGTATCTACTTCAAGAATTTTGTCACTCTTCTCATCGTCAGCATGCCTACAGCTAAGCGGGCCATCTGTACGGTGGTTCCATAAACTTTCCTCAGTCCAACGGTCTAACCAGTGTGAACCCATCTGTGCTTTCTCGAGATCAACAATGTTCGTCACATTTGAATTTGAACCACTTCTCTGCATGAACAAAAGCAATATTCAAGACCAATTTGAAGATCCAAATTTATAACCGGGTTCATTTTAATTTGTCATTGTGTAAGGTTCAGTGCTCAACGGATTCGGGAATGATACCCTATAAAAAGAACATATCTCAACATCAAAAAGTTCAAAAGAATGATTATGCAGAATGCCATAATCTGGCATAAGCTAAAAGAAAACCATTTGTTGATTTGAACGTAAATTTAGCTAGAATCACCTTCGTCTTCCTGTAAATTTGAATCTATGTATGAAACCAAATCAGAGCATGTTAAATGGAAATCTGCCGAGGCAAACTGCCGATTAAGCGATACTTTTTAGATTGAGAACCTATCAGATTTAGTACAATAAGCACACGGTTGGCATTCAACTTTCCCAGAAGTTGCATGGACTTGCAAGTAACACGTTGAAAAGGTCATCACCAGACTGAACAAAATGATAAGTTTATAGTTATTCTCAACAAGTCCCTGGATATCAACCGCTTCACCCTACCGCATCTGTTAAAACATACATCAAGCTTTCTTCCTATACAAATCAATGATTCGGCCTTGCATAGTTAATTCTGCCTTGACCCCAACCATATTACATTTCACCAATGCTAATCGAGAAGCAAATTTAATCATAAATTATGAGCATACCTCAAATTAACCTTAAATCCTCCATAAAAATATCAGAACTTTAAGTTTAGGCAAAGCTAGTGGTCCCTCCGTATTTCAATCTATTAGTGCTTGAAGAATACTTTGAGATCAAGCAAGCACATCAAAAGCAATTTTTTTAATAACTCGTACCTTCTACATCATTTTCATATATGGACCCTAAACATCGACAGGAGTAGAGAGGTATGCTTACAGCATTTCGTGTAAGTCTGGACATCTTGATGATAGAATCTAAAGACTTTGTCACATGTGCACGACTAGCACAGGCTCGAGCTTGCAGCCTGGCCAATGTTTGCATGCGTCTGAGCATGTCTGCTGTTTGCTTTCTCACGATGTGACCTCTCACTAATGCTTGAAGCTTCACCAATGCTTTCAACGCTCTCAGTGCCCTCCGTGCCTGTAACGTGTGGCGGCAGAAGTAAAAAAAAGCTTGAGCACCATTTACATCAGAACTAGAAACCATACAATACGATACCAGACCAATTGACTGTATGATAACCCTTGTAAGAATTTTACAGCAGAAGTTAAAAGGCTCCAATAAAAAAGATTTGCAACAGACAGCCGATGAACTCGAAAAGCAAGAGGCCCATAGATGAAATCGATGTCTACCACACAAGCCAACTAAAAAGAGGAAGTGGTAATAAAGTAAGAACAATCTTCCCCACCTATAGATAATTCTAACAGATAGCAGCACTAATTTAAACAAAGCTTTACAGCTTTACAAAAGTTTTAACTCAGAATAAAGCTAGGAACTTTGGTATAAAAAAAGTGAACTACATGTATAAAAACCTAGCAACTTTCAGGAGAAAATTAATAATCAGACATAAAGTTGATGTCAAAAAGGACAATCCAGTTGGTAGAATAAAGAAAAAAGTTGGCCCAGCAGCTTGGCTGTAACATGAAATATTTGTACAATGATGCCTTACTAAAATAAGGTAAAAACTTGAATGCTGCCTTTGAAAGATGCCCAAAAAAGCAAGAAACCAATTTTGACAGGAAAAAAAAGCTCTACAGAACATATGGGTAAATTTAATTTTTTGTACAGATCAGATATTTAAACAGAGGGTGCAAATGCAAATTTATGATTATATTCTTTGCTGCAGATATGGCAAATATTTACCAAAATTAACCCATTTCCCTCCTAAAGGAATTTGTTTGTTTTTTCACTCTACTGAACTATTAAGTCTTGATTGCAATTTCTTTTAGCACAGTAAGAAACAAAGAAAGAACACCAGCAGGGTGAAGAAAGAGGAATATGAATTTTGTCAACCGAGTCACATATTGTACAACTCAGCTGCCTCTTTATATCCCATCACTTCATGGACTCATTCCTCTAAAACGACAAATAAATGAAAGAGATTAAAGCCATTTGAGGCATTGATGACTGGTTTTTCAACTTTCCACCCTAGACCATTCCCCAGTGTCGGTGCAGTACCGTTCTTTCTCCTTTCGGGACCATTCCCCAGCTAAAAGCTTCAACAATGCTTTTATGATTTGAAATCAACACTCTTCTTTTGAATTTAACGAAGTAGACCAAAGAAAGCAAAGGGAAATGGGCAGTCACTAAGAACAATTACTAACCAGATAACCTCGAAAAGCGGCTTGTATCCTGAGAGCCGCCCTCTCCTCTGAGAGGCGTCGGTTGCCGCCGCCGCCGCCACTTGTCAGTCTAACGACCTCGGCAGCCGCATGCGCAGCCGCGAGAGCAGCCTCGGCTACAGCAGCAGTGGCGGCTGCGACTGCTATGGCGTGCTTGTTGGCATCCAACGTGTCACCGCATGCATCTGGATGCGAAGTTGAAGACGTGGGATTGGAAGATCTAGCAAAGCTCCAACGCCTTCGTTCTTTGTCGGAGCGTGTTTTGCTAGCCTTTTTAGCGCCAAATAGTCGCCGGAAAAAGCCCATGGTTCATCGCCGGTGAAGTACACGTGCAGTTGAAGCCATGATTAACGGGAAATCAAGTGTTTTTTTTTTGGGTAAAAGAAAAGAGAATGGAAAGTATTAAAAAGAGTATGGGAAACGAGTGAGGGAGGAGTGGGAGAGAGATGGATTTTGTAGCCAGTGATCCACAGTAGACAACTCAAATCATACGCGCCTACAAGAATTTGTAAACCACGCGCGTATTTTTAAAATACAAAACTCCTTGTTGAATTTTATTTTTATAACACTATAAATTCGATTAAATTTTATTTTTAGCACTTTTAGTAGGATAGTGTTGAGTTAATCGATCGATAGAATTGGCCAAGAAGGGGTGAATTGGCAATAAAAATTTTGGTGGAAGCTTTTTGTAGAAAATTGAAAAGATTTGCACAACGATTTAGAGTGGTTCAACTTTCTCAACCAAAGTCTACGTCTACTACCTTAGCTATCCACACTAAGGATTTTCCAACAAATTCACTAATTTGTTCTTTCTTTTTAGGACAAAGAGTAAACTTACAACTCCCTCAAGAATTATATCCCAAATTCTTGAGCACACTATTTTTCAAAGAGAAATATACAAATTTTGCAAACTTACAAGAAAACCTCACAAGGTAGATTGTTTGCACAATTCTAGAACAAAGAAAAAACACTCAAAGATAAATACAATAGAGCACAAATGGTGTTCTTGAAAGCAAAATGAATATTGAATGAAAATAGGCTTGAAATGTTCAAACTTGAGGTTTGATGATTTCTCTTTGATTCTCTAGCTTCTCTTCTTCCTTATTGTTGATCAATGGCTTCTAATCTTGTTTAAACACTCCTTGGATCACTTCTGAACGTTGGGAATTATTAGTGGAGTCAATAGAGCTGTTATTGTGTGAAAACAATTAATAAAACAGGTAGGAGTGTGGGATGCATCGATGCATAGGGCTAGTGCATCGATACACTATGTGTAAAATTTAAATATTTCGACCGTTGGAAGACTTAGTGCATCGGTACACTGAGAGTGCAACGATGCATAAATATGCTTCGATATTTTGAAAAAAGCCTGGGTGCATCGATACATGTCTTGTGCATCGGTGTATAAAATCAATTCGATGTTTTAATAATATATGAAGTGCATCGATGCATTGTATGTGCATCGGTACACTAAAGTTATTCGATGTTCAATTAAAACAAGGGTGCATCGATGCATTGATTTATGCATCCGTACACTTACATGAAAATTTGATTTTAGGCTCGTTTTTTGTTCGAAATACTTTGAAAATTGTTTCAAAAATATTTTAAGTATAAAATACAATTTTACACATTAGTAAGGATTGAAATTGATTTTAAAAGACTTGGAGTAATATTTTGATATTCGAGTAATAAAATCGAATATACTTAGAAAATCATTTGTAAAATCTTAAAATTCATTTTACTTAATTTGTTATATCGAAACATCAAAATGTTTTCAACAATCTCCCTTTTTTGATATAACAAACTATTTGAGTAATTTTAAGATTTTTAAGAAAATCATTTTTTAAATCAAATTTGAAATTACTCCCCCTTACTATTGTACATCTTCTCCCCCTTTTTGTTAAATCAAAAAGACTCTAAAACGTATTTAAACAAAAAAAATAAGCCAATTGTTCTTTATAAAATTAAAATTAAAGCTTAAGCTGCTAAGATCAGAAACAAAAGAGAGATTAACCATTAGTTTTCATAATCAATATTCATAAACATGTAATGGATAATTGGTCATATATGTCTAATGATGCAAAAATAAGTATTAATATCAAAAAGAAAATTCAAACTAAACATATATATATTAAGATCTAATATCCAAAGCAACCAAAATATAAATCCAAACAAATTCAAACATCCAAAATAAAATAATCCATGAACATCAAAATGTTTCACAATTCAAAGTTCTGAGTTCGGAACGATAAACCCATTGACTCGTTCCTTATCCTTTTTCCATTCTGTTTTCTTCAAGAAAGTAAGATTGATTTGGTTTTGGAGAGGGATAGGAATATCAGAAGAGACCCTAAGACCGAGTTTGATAAACAAATTACTAAGGAGACAACCATAAATCAAGGTTTCTATATTCTTGGAATGAACAATGTTTATGGTATCTACTAACTCACTAAAGGTGATATGTGGCAGAATAATCTTCTTATTATGTTGGATACAATGTATCCATCATATATCTATATTTCTAAGGGAGAAGAACCTACCTCCGGATGGTCAAAACCATCAAGAGATCAACAAATGAAGAAATCAATCGTGATGAGATGGTAAGGTACTAACGCTATCCTTAGACTTATAGGGTGATACCACAGTCTCATTTTCATTATATAAACCTAAGTTATCTAGACCAAAATATGTAGTGAATGTGTCGGAGTCAATAAAAACAAATTGACCTAAAAGAATCAAATTCTTATAGTTTTGGTTTGGCGTAAGAGTAGGAAGATATTGGAAGTCCATATCTTCCATAGCTTGGATCGAAGGGATACGCTCTTCCCGGATTTTGTATGACTCAAAACAAGTATGGTACCTATGATATAGATCTTGTCTAAGACCAGGTACAATGAAACAAGAGTTCAGAATGGTCATATTTGGGTTATTTGGATTGGGTGAAGGAATAAGAGGTCAGTTTTGACTTGAGTGAATAGATGATGTTAGCATGATTTGGAGATGTAATGCTCGAAGATTCTGACTTTAAAACGTTGATTTTTGGGCAAATAAAGAGTATAGGGTGATGAACGGCGGCATGAGAGTTTTTTAAAGGGTTTTGAGAAAATAAAGAAGAAACAGGGTTTTTAACCAAAAACCCGACGGATGCATCGATGCATGGCCATGTACATCGATGCACATTCAAAGCGTGCATCGATGCATCTTCATGATGTATCGATGCACATTCAAAGGGATGCATCGATGCACTGTTAAGTGTATCGATGCATTAAACACAAAAATGTCAAAAATATGTTTTAAACACTCAAAATGCTAAATTAATTAGCTCTAGTGGTATTGGCAACTCATATATTGAGAATTAATCATGTTCAATCAATCAAATTTATCCTTAAACATTTTTTGAACATATAATTAATTTTCACTAAGAATCATAAACTCCCCTAACTAAAAAAAAGAATGCAATCAAAAATTATTATTATTATTATTATTATTATAAGCATTTTTCATTTATTCTTAAAAGTGCTAAACTAATTTAAACACTAAGTGAAGATAGGTCAATTAAACCTATTTCTCTCCTAAGTGTCCAAAATCTTTCTTTGTCTAAAGGTTTTGTAAATATATCCGCTAATTGGTGCAAAGTATCAATAAATTCTAGAACTACATTTTCCTTAGTGACATGGTCTTTAATGAAGTGATGTCTAATTTCAATGTGCTTAGTTCTAGAGTATTGTATGGGATTTTTAGTGAGACAAATAGCACTAGTATTATCACACTTGATAGGAATGGTACCTACTTCAATTCCATAATCAAAAAGTTGTTGTTTCATCCATAAAACTTGTGCACAACAACTACCGACTGAAATGTATTCTGCTTCAGTGGTAGATAATGCAACACAATTTTGTTTCTTTGAAAACCAAGAAATCAACATATTTCTAAGGAATTGGCAAGTACCGGAGGTGCTTTTCCTATCTAATTTGCATCCTCCATAATCCGCATCAGAGAAGACATGCAAGCTAAAGCTAGAGTCTCTAGGATACCAAAGTCCTAAACTAGGAGTGTCCTTAAGGTATCTAAAGATTCTCTTAACAGCTAGTAAATGTGATTCCTTAGGGCATTATTGAAATCTAGCACATAAGCAAACACTAAACATAATGTTCGGTCTACTTGCGGTTAAATAAAGCAAAGAGCCAATCATTGACCTATATAATTTAACATTCACACATTTACCTCATTCATCTATGTCAAGCTTTTTTGATGAGCTCATTGGAGTGTCATGAGGTTTCCCATTTTCTAGTCTAAACTTCTTGAGCATATCTTTGACGTACTTAGCTTGATTGATGAAGATGGCATCTTTTCTTTGCTTGATTTGGAGTCCCAAGAAAAATGAGAGCTCCCCCATCATGCTCATCTCAAATTCACTTTGCATTAGCTTAGAAAATTCTTGGCAAAGAACATCATTAGTAGAACCAAATATTATATCATCAACATAAATTTGAACTACTAATAAATCTTTACCTTTATGCTTTAAAAACAATGTATTGTCAACCTTCCCTTTTGAAAAACCTTTTTCAATTAAAAAGTTTGACAATCTTTCATATCAAGCTCTAGGAGCTTGTTTTAAACCATAAAGTGCTTTTATCAATTTAAGAACATGATTTGGAAATTTTGAATCTTCAAAACCAGGAGATTGTACTACATACACTTCTTCTTTATAAAACCATTTAAAAATGCACTTTTAACATCCATTCGATATAGTTTAAATTCATTGAAACATGAAAATGCTAATAACATTCTAATTGCTTCCATCCTAGCTACGGGAGCGTATGTTTCATCATAGTTTATACCTTCTTCTTGAGTATACCCTTGAGCAACAAGTCTAGCCTTGTTTCTCATTATATTACCACTTTTATTAAGCTTATTCCTAAATACCCATCTAGTACCTACAGTAGATTTATTACTAGGCCTTTCAACTAATGTCCATACTTTACTTCTCTCAAATTGATTTAACTCTTCTTGCATAGCCATAATTCAATGTTCATCTTTTAATGCTTCTTTGATGTTCTTAGGCTCTATACATGAAATAAATGCAACATAATTACAAATATTTCTAAGAGAAGATCGAGTAGTTACCCCTTTGGATGGATCACCTATAATTTCATCATCCTTGACATAGTTGTACTCTCTTGGATAAGATACTTCTCTTTCTTCAATGGTTGGATTCTCGAGAGAATCATGAGTTTCCTCATCTTTTGTTTCTTCTTTTGATGATGATTCTCCAACGTCATGTCTAACGTCATTTGCTTGTACAATACCTACATCATCATTAACACAAGAATCCTTCCTTGGAAGGGGATTATCATCGAAAACAACATGTATATACTCTTCTACAACTAAAGTTGTTTTATTAAATACTCAATAAGCTTTAGACTTTAAGGAATAACCCAGAAA